GTGTTACTCAGATCCAGGGTCAGACGTAACCCAGCGGTTGAGTTATTTATCGCGGGGATTTTGCGTCTTCACTTCACGAGAGAGCAGTTCTAAGCGCCATCTAATTGATACATTCTTCTGTAAAATACAGGTTTGTGTACATTTTATTTTATCTATAAAATCGTTACTGTGCTGTATATAGTTACATTTTATGCAGAGCAACATACGCAACATAGGCACGCGGTGTGAATCACCTTTAACGAGTGTCGCAGTCTTTTCGCGTGATAGAAAAGCCTGATGCTTTGCATAAAATAAACGATTTTATTCATAAAGATACAGAATATAATACTTTGTTTGGATGTTAAAACATGCCATCAGAGCTGTTTATTGTTTGTTTATTGGCAGGTTATGGAGTCACCGCATGTTTCGGCTAGAGTGAAACTCTGGGCGGCGGTCCGTTAGCAGTTCCCCGCCGAACATGACTCCAGCTCGGGCACGAGAACCAGCGCCGTTACGATGGAAACAGAATAACAGACTGGTCGATTACACGTGAATTACTTATGTTTAATGTTGAATTTTTGTTCTAATGTTTGTTAAACGAGTTTAAATATAGGCAATATGTATAGCTATTAAAAACGATTAAAGGAAGTTATCAAGCAAACCAGTGGTTGTGTGGAGTATTTTAGAAAAGTTTAGAGGATTTCAGTTAATCTGTAAACCTTACTTAATGTATGAAGTAAAAAAAATAAGCTAGTGATATAGTAAAAATGAATAAACCCATTAGCTGGGTTAAATCAACCCATTATGCTAAAATGGGTTGATCTAACCCAAGCTGGGTTCTGTCCTATATTTACCCAGCCCTTGGGCTAATAACAACCCAAATTTGGTTGTTTTTAACCCAGTGTTTTTTAGAGTGTAGGTATCACTTTACAATAAGGTTCTATTAGTTAATGTTAGTTATGAACAAACAATGAACAATACATTTATTACCGTATTTATTAATCTTTGTTAATGTTAGTTAATGAAAATACAGTTGTTCATTGTTAGTTCATGTTAATTCACATGCATTAACTAATGTCAACAAGCACAACATTTGATTTTAATAATGCATTAGTAAGTGTTGACATTAACTAAGATTAATAAATGCTGTAGAAGTATTGTTCATTCTTAGTTCATGTTAACTAAAGTAGTTAACTAATTAACCTTATTGTAAAGTGTTACCCAATTTTGCTTTTTTTTCCAGCAAGATTTTGCAAGCAAAAAAGGTCAATTTTCTATTGTCTATAGATTTTTGAACCAGGCATCTTTCTTTTGGTCACTTCACCAAATTTGATTGACCAACCAAGCCTGATGCAAAATCTGCATGAGGATCTTTATCTCATACACAAAATTCCAGATTGCATTTATTCCTATGGAATTAATTGGATTTTGTTCACAAAAGTTGCCGGAACAGCGGTAAATGGGTAGGGGGTTGTCTAGTCACTGAGGTCTTTGCTGAAGATCTGTTCTGAGGGCTTGTCTCATTGAGGTATGATATGCTGATATGAATGTAATCGTTTTAATTCCTGAAAGTGAATCGCTGAATGACGTATAATTTGGTCAAATTTTGTGTGCATGCGGTCTCTCCATTTCCTGACATGCTGGACTGCTAATTTAATAATCAAATTTTTGTTCGCGTTGTTTGGAACCTTTGCACTAGCATTCACACCAGAAAGACTCAAGTGCCATTTAGTATTGACACAAAACCCAAAGTTTCAAAAAAGCTAAGGTACAAAAGTGAGTGAAGTAACATTATTTTTTTTCCATGCAAACGTACTGCGTTTCTGACCCAAAAATACAGAGTGAACAGAATCCATTTTGGCCAGTCTCTGGTTTGGACCACACATTCGACCCAAGTGTGAAGGTAAGTGTGTGACTATCAAATTATCCTGTTCACACCAGTAGTTTGAATGTGTGAATGTCCTGAATGTATATGAATGAACAGCTAAAGTTGAGGCCCTTTTCTGTTCTTGCAATAACTGTAATGCCTCTAGCAGTGATGGAAATAGATATCAAAAATAGTGACTTCCATAACGCTGGAAATCCTCATTACAGTTAACACAACATTATTTGATACACAAGCTCAACAGAGACACAAATGCATCCATTATCCGACAGTGACTTCGTATTCTTGAGTGTAGAGCGAAGCATTCAGGAGGGACCCAGACACAAAACTGATAAAGTCTCAGACGGAAGACAGCGACTGGAATGGCTCATAAGTTACCAGTACCCCACAGGAATATATGAAATACACACATCAAGTGTGTGTGTGCATTGTAGACTGGCTATACAGTAGCACTGTATGTTGTGAAAATTAGTTTTCCAGTGTGATTGCATTAACCCAATGCAGCTTAACCAAAATATTAAATTTAGGTGTGAGTAAAGAAAATTTAAAGTCAGTTTGTCTATACAACAAATTTGTTACTCTCGTTTATAACTCAACTGTGAAATGTGACTGACTGCCGTATTCTGCTGCTGTGTGCATAGTTCCCTAGTTACTGGTATCTTTCATGTCACTGACATACGAAAACCTGAAAATTGCAGAAAATAGGGGTTTTGAGTTATCAGAGAGAAGGCTAATTCTGCACTGTGTTCAAGAGAATCACTCAAATTTGCCGCATTGTCAATGTTTGTATGTGAATAAAAGTTTAAATTAAATATGTTCATAAAGTGATCATGTCTCTTCAGAAGACATGAATTAAACGGCTTGATTCTTATGGATTGCATTTACAATGTCTTTATGTACTTTTTGAAGCTTGAAAATGCTGATTACATAGACTTTCAATGCATGGACAAAAATATTTAAATATAGCATATTAAAAAGATCTTCATTTGTGTTCCAAAGAGGAAAAAGTCTAATGGGTTTGGAATGACATGAGGGTGAGTAAATGATGACAGAATTTTCATTTCTGAGTGAACTAACCCACAGTTAACCTCACATTTCTGTTTTTCTCCCACACAGTTTTTATCTTTGTTGTTCTCTAATATTTCAGGAAAAGCGTCGATGAACTGTTTTTTTTAAATAAGTGCTGCTCTAGTTTTTGCTGCGGCATTCAAAACCCCCCATCTTCCCTGAAAGTAGTTTTGTTACAGCAATGCAAATCTAAGCTGTTCAACTTATGCTTAATTGAAACACAATTTTATCATTTAATTAGGAGCACATTTCCTCTGAGAGACAAAAAAAGACATACAATGTGTGTGCATGTGTTATTTACTGCCTCAATTGTATCCAGATCCTGAGGGAGCAGTATTTTTTCTCATAGCGATGCATTAAAAAGATCACTCCTTAAGCTGGCCTGATTAGACTCTCTCTCATTGTCTCGCCTTTCCTCTAGAGATCAAACTCAGCATATCCTTCCCTTTAATACTGTGGACCAGTGTGACAACGTATTACATACCACAGAAAGTCCTAAATATTTGGTCTGTTCACTATTCATACAGTCATTACATATCACAAGCCTTATATTTTCTCAGAAATGATTGAACTGCAAACAGGGTGAATTTCAATCAAAAGTGCAACCTACTCCCTCTGAAGGGCAGGTCACGTGAAGTAAGGGGCCATTACTATCATATGTGCGTTTTTAGAACACCCTACACAAATCTGTACATATCGCTGAACCTTCATTTTAAATGGGAATGTTAATGTAGCAGCAAAATTACTTTTAACTGTTAAGATTGATGTGGAAAATACATTTTTGCATCAAATATTGGCTCTTTGCAACTCGAATTCTGCTGATAGTCTTTGGGCGCATGAGAACAATTGAGAATCTTAAAATCCATGGTAAAATCATTTAAATGGCAAACAAACTAAATACTTCTTTAAAACCCTCATGTGGTGTTCGGGTCCTTTTTGCTCTGAAAAATTTTTCTTTTTCCCGAAAATACTAGTTAATGTTATCGCATTGAACTGAAATTTTGTGACTTTGTTCACAAAGGGTATAACTACTTCTAAAAAATTTTTTGATCATTTAACAAAAAAGACTTGAGACTGTAAAGGTGCTTCAGCTAAATATTTAGTTAATACTTATGCAATGTACTTATTTCAGTTTTTTATTTTTAATAAATTGACGAAGTTGTGACGATTCTGTTTTTGTCTGTTTTGTCATTATGGTGTATGGAGTGTAGATTGATGTGGGGAAAAGAAATTTAAAGCAGTTTAACATAAGGCAGCAACATAACAAAATGTGAAAGAAATGAAGGGGTATGAATACTTTCGCAAGGCACTGTATGTCGGTTGGCCACCAGGGAGGCCGCCATGTACTCAAAGGTTTTTTTTCTTCGTTCAGACATTGTCTGACAATCTCAGACTGGTAAACAAGCAAACATAAAAAACACAGCGTTGGTTTTGCTGAGCCAGGTGGCTGCAGTTATTGAGCATCCAATGACCTACCGATGCACACCAGGTCCATGAAGCCGTACATGCCGTAACAGATCTGGAAGAGCAGGTCCTGCCGTTGCCACTTGGCCGAGGGGCTGAGGGAGGACCAGACCAGCCAGGAGATACTGGCTATCAGGAACATAGAACCCAGAACAGCTGCAGCTATCTGTACTTTCTCTATCACTGTCAACGAGATGGCCTGCCACTGGAGACACAAAAAATATAAACTAATACCAGTATCACATTTTAGCACACATGAAAAACAAGTCACTGCAAAATACAGTCAAAAGATAATATAAGTGACTTCAGTCATAATAATATAGAACGATAATATAAAAAGGTACAGTACTGTTCAAAAGTTTGGGCTTAGTAAGAATTTGTTTTTTTAAATGAATACTTCAGCAAGGATGCATTACGTTGATCATAAGTGACATTAAAGACAATGCTACAAAATATTTCTATTTCAAATAAATGCTTCTTTTTTTATACTTTATATTCATCAAAGAATTCTGGAAAAACAATGTATCTTTGTTTACACAAAACTATGAAGCAGCACAACTGTTTTCAACACTGATAATAATAAGAAATGTGTCTTGAACAGCAAATCAGCATATTAGAATGATTTAGATTGATTAGAATGATTAGAATGACACTGAAGACTGGAGTAAAGGCTGCTGAAAGTTCAGCTTTTCATCACAGGAATAAATGATATTTCACAATATATTCACATAGAAAAGAGTTTTACAATTTTCAGTTACAATAATATTTCACAATATTACTGTTTTTCTGTACTTTGGATCAAATAAATGCGGTCTTGTTGAGCAGAAAAGACTTTAAAACATTTTTAAAATCTTACCAAACCCAAACTTTTGAACAGTATTGATTGATTGATTATTAGCACTAGGGAAGATCTTTGATGTAAAAATGAATACATTTCCATTATTGATTAAGTACTTAAAAAGATCAGTTTTCAAAACTCTGTTCTTGCCTTACCCCAATTCACTATGGTAAACGTAGAAAATGACTTATATTTTGAGCAATTTGGGCGGTTTTTACATTTCAGGTTTACTTCATATCCATAAACAAAAAATGGTCTGGCTACTTGCTCACGCTACATATTTTTTTCACATATGCCCTGTAGACATTCTTCTAGCTGATCTTGATGCAGAATGACAGATCTAATCATAGGCAAATCAACCATAGAAAAGCACAACTAATGTAAAACAACTCTGTGAGTAATTTGTAATTTTATGTTTCAACCACAAATGGCAATATAGAGGCCAAAGTTCTGTAGTGCACCTTTAAAATAGCTAAAACAAAGAAAAAATGTGCCTATTTATCATCTGAAGGTCAGATCAAAAGAAAATCAAAAAAAGACAAAGTAAAATCAGTGAGAGCAGAAGCTTTGAACCCAGACAAGCATATAAACTACTTGAGCTAACACAGTATGAAAGGAATAAGATAAACACAGTGCTACTGCTCTCAGTATTGTGGTGGTACAATGCACCAGTGTTAATTTTGACAGCAAATTTTGATTTAGTTTTAGTCATAGTCTTTTGACTAAAATGCCATTTAGTTTTAGTCATATTTTAGTCATCTGAATTGTTTTTAGTTTTAGTCATAGTCTTTTGACTAAAATGCCATTTAGTTTTAGTCATATTTTAGTCATCTGAATTGTTTTTAGTTTT